GTCGGTCCGAGGGGGGGTGTCAGGATTCCATCCCGTTTAGGTTTAGCGTCCCGACTTAGTCAGCCTATATATAGTTGGCCCCTGAGCCATCCTAATTGGACACTTGGCGCTTCCCGATTCTCTCATTTGGATTCTACCGCACATGTGATCCGTGTTTTAGCTAATCACCCAACTACTACACCAGCAAGTACGCAGCAAATACGCAGCAAGTATGCAGTAAGATATGCAGCAAGATATGCAGCAAGATATGCAGCAAGATACAGTAAGATACCCCAGTGAGATCTGTCAGTGTTCCAATACGCGCAGGAAGGTAGAACCGCGTGGGGAAGAGGGAGAGGGAGAGGGCATGAGCGCAGGCGCGGGTGTGGAGGCAGTCAGCTATCTAGCAGTCAAGCAAACAGTCAGTAATCTGGTGATCAGCCTTAAGATACGCAGTAGTGAGGTCGCGGAGGGCAAGGTCGCGGAGGGCGTGGGCGTGGGCAAAGCTGCAGGTAGGGGGGGGCTCACTACAATGGCATCCCAGAGGGCATGACAAGCGTTATTCAATTTTGAATGGAGGGTTCTGATTGGTTAAGAGAATGTATAATTAGATTGTAGAATTAGAACAAATTCAACCTGCGAATCCTATCATCAAATTTATATGGTAAATCGAATTGTTTTCATCCTCCGCTTCCCAATTCGCGGTGATCACATGACCAAACCTTACCCGATCGGGTAAGGGGGGTGTCGCTGGAACCTACGGGGTGTCGGTAAGGCGCCAGGGGGTGTCGCTATATCATCCCCCTATATATAAATATCATATAATGTATCTGAAATGTAATTGAAATAGTGCCTGTTCTGTATTATACTTTTTTGTATTTGAGTTTTGACATGCAGGATATGTGGCAGACTCCTGTATATGCATTGCTTTGGCATTGAGTAACCGTACCACTTTTCACCAGTCGAGCCAGAGCTTTGGTACTTCAGCATTTAGCTTATAATCAAATCCTATGCTGGGCTTGTATCTATTGGAGCTTTGGATGGCTCTGAACAAAACAAAAAGGTACAGTAGTAAGTTGTGACCCGGTACAGCTGCATAACAGACGCTCAGATATCTAGATCAACAGCCTCGCCGAATAAGGCAATAGTAGCTGGAGTGGAACGATGGCACGAGCCCCCGTCGAAAATCCCCTCTTCATGGAATGGAGTGGTACGAACCCTATTAGCTACCTATCGGAGCTATACCGGTGTGACTCCATTGCTGCATCTCCCGGACTTGTTGGCGACAACTGCATACAGCCTGCTTCTGTGGGCCGCACCCTTAGTGCTCCTGCATGTATACTGCATCTTTATCACATAATCTCTCGCGATTATTGGCATGCATTCATTGGTTTATGCTTACCTGCGAGGTTAGACTCAGTCAGACGAATTGTCTATGGTTTAGTTGTTGTTTTTCTTCCGCTGATCCCTTGCAGCTGTACTACATTCCGGGTTGTAGAAGGATGGATTGATACATCTGTGCATACTAATGGAGTAAAAGGCAGAAGCAAAAAGTAAAAATGTTCTTCACTAAGGTCTATTTGATCGACTTCCGGATATCTCTGTCCTTGCTTTGCCTGTAGATCTGTTTGTGTGCGGATGTCCTAAGGATGGTCAAAAACTTCAAACCAGCCAATAGGCCAGTGGCATTGTTAGCCTTAAGCAAAATACACCGCGTCGAATTTAACCATGGGCGATCTGAGCCGAGTCATGGAAGATGCCCCTGTCTTTGTCTTTGTGATTGATCACTTACAGCGCTTGCTTGCAGTGAGACCAACTATCAAGTGTGAGCAAGGGAAAATGCCCAATGAATCCTCAGGTCCCTGGCCAAGCAGTGCTGATTGGATGGACCTGTAAGTCCGCCAGATTGCCGACATCGTGAGGTTGTACAAAATGTTCTCAACTCCAGTATCTGCAAAGGCATAAACCCATTACCTATCAAATCCTTGCATATCCAACAGTATCCTCTAGGCAAGCATCTGCAACATGCTGTTAAACAGTACTGCTTTGGAACTACAAACTAGCCCCTTGCTAACGAAGTTGCAGTTCATATATAACTCCTATGCAAAAATTGCACACAGCAATTTAACAGATTGTATGAACTGAAGGTGCTTCAGATAGTTTCTTGTATAGCAAATTGAAATCATCTGAAGCCCCATCCAGGACTGACTTAGATCGTCAGACACAACTCCAGCAGTCACTTCACATTTTATCTTCGCCTCCAGAAGCTGAGAGATTATCTACTTCGATTCTAGCCCGCAAAATGCGCGTTGCAGTTGTTGGCGGCGGTCCCTCCGGACTTGTGGTGCTCAAGTACTTGACGACTGTACACAATTTCCAGCCTGTGGATCCAATCGAGGCTCAACTCTTTGAGGCGGAAGACAGTGTTGGTGGTACTTTTACATACCGCACCTATGAAGATGCTGAGGTGAGCCTGCTGATATATGAATTTCGCGTTTCTATAAAGCTCATACCTACTGGTGTTTAGCTTGTGTCATCGACAGAACTGACAGCCTTCTCCGATTTCCGCTGTAACGGTGGCCCAGACTATCTGCCTGCGTTGTCGTACATCAAGTATCTGAACGACTACTGCACACGCTTCAATCTTTGGCCCCATATCAAACTATCCACTTGCGTGACCCGCGTTCAACGACGTCAAGGAGGCGGTCATACTGTCACATTCACTTCCAAAGATGGTGAGACCGGTCTGTGGGAGTGTGATGCGGTTGCCATCTGCTCCGGACTACACGTGAGGCCCAACATCCCAGATATCGATGGTCTCGAGAACGTACCCGTTATTTTCCACTCTTCTAAATACAAGAAAAGGGAGCAGCTGGGAAATGGCAATGTGTTGATATTGGGGACTGGGGAGACTGCGATGGACATTGCCTATTTTTCCGTCACCTCCGACAAGACAAAATCTACAACCATCAGCCACAGAGATGGTTTTGTGATAGCCACCAAGGTAAAAGGCCTCCACCTTTCTTGGCTTGTTTTTTATTCCGTCCTGATGCTAATATGGAAGTGACATTGGCTATAGAGGACCCCTGGAGTGACCCTATTCGGTAGAGGAGGTTCAGGCTTAAAGGACAATGGTGTCCCAAGTGACGTTAGCACGCCCACCTTGTTCGCGCTCTCCTGCATCCATCCAAGAGTTAGGAATTCCGATTATTGGAATGTGATCCAGAAAGCCGTTGTCAAGACAGTATGGTGGTTGATGACTGGGACAACCTTGGGTTACAATCAATGGGTCGGGACACTTCCTGACCAAGACTTTGGAAAATTCCGCTGTAAGCACAAGTTCCCTCCAATTGAATCGCTTCTCTGATTATATTCTTCAGTCTTCTACACCAAATCGAGCAGGGCTATGCCCTACATCAGTGCCCCCTATCGGTCGAGAAATATGCTGCAGCGAATTCGATCTGCTATCATCGAGTCCCCGGTGCCTGATACCGCTGGCAAGAGGATCGATCTGGCTCCGTGGCCGGAATATATTGATCCCAAGGGAGTCGTACATTTCAGAAGGACTAACCGCCCGGAATCCAAGATGTTCGAAAATAGTTCGTACAAGCCTGATGTGGTTGTTCTTGCGACCGGGTACACCCAACAGTTCCCTTTCATTGATGACAGTTACCCCCTGCCGGACGAGGCCGACGTGCGCGGTATCTGGAAGACTGGAGATGAGACAGTGGGGTTCATTGGCTTTGTCAGACCAAGTTTTGGTAAGTTAAGGATATTCATGCAATGCTTCCCTCATCTCTGTTTGACTCCACTGGGGCAAACTCAACTGACCGCGCCTCACCCTCTGCAGGTGCAATCCCACCCCTTGCTGAGATGCAATCCCAGCTTTGGGTGCTCTCATTGATCAACAAAATCCCGAAGCCACTCGGACCCGCACGGAATTACCTTCTTGAGAATAATCCTAGCTGCCGTATCCAGTACGGTGTAGAGCATGATGCGTATGCTTACCAACTTGCGTGTGATGTTGGCGGAGCGGCATCATTCCTAGAGGCGCTCTCTCGCGGCTGGAGAGTCTGGGTGGTTTGGGCCCTTGGAGCCTGTCCAAATACAAAGTTTCGCTTGGTCGGTCCCTGGAAATGGGGAGGCGCCGAAGAGGTTATCAAGACGGAACTCTTTGCGACTGTCAAACGACGAGGGAATATTTTCGGTGGGTACCATAGCAATATCAAGATTACGAAGTTATGCTAATCCCCTGCCAGGACGAATCTTGGAATTGGTCGTTCTGTTTGTGATGACTGTCCCGGCGACCCTGTTGCTCTACCTTACGGATGGAATATCTGTTATCTGCGAGGGTGTGAAGTCGCTCAGTACATGATGTTTCCTCTTGCTTTTGCATGGTGGCTACAATGATGGTCCACTCAAGTGACGACTAGGCTTCTTGACTCCGTCTCTACTGGGTTGATGAGGGCCCAACCGACATCTGGAACAGAAAGAACCAGGGGTGAGAGGGATCGTCGATATGACTGAATCTTTATAGGATTTGACTATCATAAACTATCAATTTTGGGTGTGGTCAGCTAATTCGCTCGCTCTCTTCCTTCTCTCTCTCTCTTCTCAGCAGAGCTTGTAGTCTTTTGTCTCTGGGCCCCTAGATTCCTGTGCCCAGTAGGTAAGTCCTTCAATGACAGCATGGACGATGGAAAAACCTACACCATCATCGATATGTAGGAGGAATAGGAGCAGAGGCTTGTATACGGCTGTGTCAATATGCTGGCCAATTTTTCTGTCTTTGGAAGCTACATTGGTAGGAGCTCGTGACAATAAGTATTGCCAAGGAGTCTGCCGCAATGTGGTGCTTGATAATAAACAAAGTTCAGCTGCAGCGTTTTCTGTCGATGTGTGGTCTGATGACCTGCCCTGTTTGCCGCGCTTAGAGGAGAGGCGCAGGCTGCCAGTTCGTCCATTCATTACGAGGACTGAGTGGATAGCGATGGGAGTGGCCCATAATTCTCGCCAGGAGGAATCACTGGCAGTGCCTTCCAGCTTGAACAATTCGGACAAGAAGGCGAGGATGAAGCCTCTCCCGGCGAGATGCTCAAAATTAGGTCTTTGACTGTTGGTACTGGTGGAACGCTCCTGATATCAGAGGAGGAAATGTATACTAGCACGGCTAGTGATTGGCGCATATCTCATTGTTTTTGTAACAATTTATACTAGAATCCGTTCCACACAAATAGAGTGGAGTTCCATGTGCTGTGAGGCTTACCTCAATAGGAATCCGAAAAGTCGATGTAACCATTTTTATTCCTGAACTCTTATTCTACCAGACGTCTTATCGCCTCGGTGAAGAGCAACAGTTCAAGTCTGTCCCTGGGAACTGGAATTGGCTTCGTCAGCATCTAGATTTGACTTGAATGACTACCTCAACTGATTAGCAACTATATGGATTGAATGAGGATTTACCTATTTTTCTGCCCTGATTCGCAGGCGCAAAGTACGAAGCGCATGACAAAACCAGGTGTAGAGACCGCCATATTACTATTTCGCCGGCCAGTATAAGAATATTAAGGGATCACGAGAAATTTCGCCGTAGACGACTCCTATTTGGAGCTGGAGTGGCGGTGCCCATCACGTTATAACTTCGAGTCCAGAGGCACTTGTTTCAAAGGCAGAACATGCTGTCAAATAATGGCTGAAGTCAAGAATGATTGCGAATTGCCTGGTCATTAGATTGTACGGAGAATTGCTCCTATTACATCTAGTGTTTCAATTCACTGGAGACATAGAAGGGCTTAAAGTTCAAGATCAAATCATCCACATTCATCCAGATAGACGCACAGGATCAGTTTCCCTCAGTCTTAGAGCGTAAATGACCTTTCCTGTTCCGGAGCTAAAGATCTTCTCAAATAGTAATCTTTCATCGGCTTCATGAAACAGCTTTTCCCAATCGGACTGGGATCGATAAGCGCGGCTGAGGATGGAAATCATATGCAGCTGGTGGGCGCTGAATAGCGGAGAGAGTTCATTCTCGGGCTCAATTCCGTCACTCACCAAGCAAGTGGAATGGCCCGGCACCATTGCATTGGCAATATTCCTCAGGATAATCTTGCATGCCCTGCACCTAAGAGTAAGCAAAATTCTGGGAAAAGGTGGAGTTAAACAATCAATCCATCCTGCATACTTATCATGATGATCCATAAGCACTGAGTTCAACAGGTAGACATCAGCCCCTTTCACCGGCTGGGGGTCAAAAAAGTTGTGGCCTTGCCAGCTGATCCGATGCTCATCCCCAGCCTCATCGATTGGACTTAGATTTTTGACGGCATCCTCGTGGTCCTGAACAATGAATTGTATATGGCGGAATTGCCGCATCAATCGCCGACAGTGATGGCCTCTTCCTCCTCCTACATCCACGACCACTGCGCCATGGCTCAAGCTGGCAAAGGGGTAGGTCATCTCGAGACTCGGATCTAAGGCAGTGGCCTCCATCGCGGTATCAAAACGCGCACCACGGATGGTATCAATTTCGCGGATGTAGTCGTAAAACGTCCGAGAAGCTATGTAAATTTTAGTGTGTCATTCATCCTTGTGTGGGTAACGAATTCGACTTGAAGGAAATTCCTACTTCGAAAGGCTTTGCAAAAGCCAGCTTCATGAGGATTTTCATTGATTTGAAATTGGTTTCCTGCAAGACATTCGGTCATGTAAGCGGCAGCACGGAGGCCATCATCAACGCTGCCTCATGCAAGTGGCCTGATGTCAGACCCGGTGTCAAGCAGTAAGAAAGACTGCACATGGACTCTTACAGGAAGTGAATCCAAGCCGCCAGTGACTTGTTTAGCAGACTTCTTGAGAAGGCATTGTGACAATATTGGTCCGGTTCGACAGCCTCAAAGATGTAGTTCGACACCAGCTGGCTCATAACACACTCTTTTCCCAGACGAAGTGAATTAGCACACATCTTAGGGAAGAGCACCGACAAATATCGACTTACTGATGAGCTTCTTCGAGCCTCCCGTGTGTTGAACCAGGGTATCTAGTGATGTGGGGATATTGATTTGTATATGTTGGTGGAGATTCATTTCCAGGGCCAGAGATATTGCAACACTTGTACTATAGCCCATGGCAATTTTTGTCATCCAAAGTTCGGGCATGGTCAGACAGGCTGACAGTTCATTGCAAGCGGTGATGATCCTCTGGAACTTGTCACCCAGGAAACTGTCCTGCTGAGAAGAGTGTGTACGAAGCGATTGAGCCTCCTGTGTTATGCACTCTACCAGGCTCAGCATCTGGCTGATTTGATCGGTGTGTTGAGACATTTGTAGGATTAACGTTTTATCGTGTCGTATACTGTTTCAGTAAAGTGGATGTGGTCAGGGAATGGATGCGAGAGGGGTTGCAATCGATATTAAGACCTGAGTTCGACTGGAGACATCATCTCTTGTTTTGCTAAGGAGGACATTATACCAAAGTTTGATGAAAATCATGTATCCTATGGCGATCCATGCAAGGTGTGGCTACCTGGTGGTGGGGGATTACATCTGCATGGCACATCTAGTTCAAAAATTACGTCCTTTAGCATAGAATAACATATTATAATCATGCATAGTGATTGTCACAATGGCTTGACTGGTCATTGCTCAGGCCACTGTTGTATTATATTTAATGCTGTCAACCACTCTTATTCGGTACATACCTATGCACAGATCCACTCCCCTCCCCCCTTTTTTCCTTCCCTTTTTCTCTTTTTTGCTTTTTCCATCTATGAAGTGAAAATTGAAAAATGAGTTTTATACTTCGTCTCGGCTGGATCCATGGTGGTGCTTTCCTTTGGACCAGGCTCAGCTGCCCACTTTTGTTGATAGTGCTACACCTGATGCAATGCAGCCAAGTCACAAGCACCATGCGTGGGGACCATTTGGTCAGGTAATCCTGCATAAGTTTTAGTTTACTGGTCCTAACCTAGGTACTCCATGTCTAGATATCTGCCTTGAGAAGATTGATACCCAGATGAATAACTTGCCTCAATGGGCTCAAGGAGAAGCAAACAATCTTCTGGCACTGTACCCTTGCACATTGAATCACACCGCTCTTTCAGCTCAACTTTTGTTTGTAGTATGGATATAGTTCGCAATCCCCGTTGAAGGACTCTATTCTCAATGGAACTGGATTTGCCCTTTCACATTATGTCCTGGACACATCTCTGACAGTGGCCTAATGAACTCTACTGTTCAAATAGATTTACTGCAAGCTTGGTCCAGATAGCAGGGCCCTTCCTGTAAGTTGACAAACTTGGGATCCAGGTCCAGTTTTCCGCCCTGGGGGATGTTGCGAGGAAGATACCCCTGGCCAGACTCGATTGCCTCCCTGACTCTTGCATATTCCTGATACGCATATAGTTGAGAGTTATGCCAAAAAATCCAAGCACGACGATAGCTTTTATACAGACTTGAATCTTCGGATATAGCAGCCCAATCCTGGCTATAATGTAAGTCGTGCATCGTTTTGCTTGCCTCCTGGATGGTGGTAGCTCGTGGTTTTCTGGAGCTTCAACTCAGACTATATCCTATCGAAGTAGAGATGGCGACCTAACTTATCATTTCGCAATCTGGAATGCCAGAGGAACATTATTTTTGCTACTCAATTCAAGGGAGATGGCAATCACCGCTGCATCTTCAATGGCTTGGCTAGCACCTTGGCCAATAACAGGAAGGAAAGGGTGTGCTGCGTCGCCGATAATGATCGTCCTTTTCTCTGGGGACAGCCACCTGGACAAGGGACTTCTGGATGCGAATGGTGGACCATTTTATTGTTGGGGACATGCTTGAGCATGTTTCTCAGTTTGCCTTGCACCCCCCAGCCTTCCATAAGCCCGACTAAATCATGCACATTGTCAGGCGGTCTTCCTAGCTTTTCCCGAGCGTAATCGACCTATAGACCATGGTGAGATATTGGTACAAGCAAGAGGGAAAGCAGCAGATAAACTCGGGACATCATTACATTATACATAGCTGCCATCGCCATTTCCTGACCATTTGCAAAGGAGGCGAATCCGATTTCAAGCCCGGGGCCCATGAATACCTTGCCTGAATCCGTTGTGCCTTCCATAATCCATTTAATCTCGGGAATATCACCCAACTCTGCTGTTTGGAACGACGTCCGGAAGACGTATTGACTGGTCAATATGACTGCCGAGTCCTCTCCGAGGATGCTTTGTCTTCCAGTACTGTTAATCCCATTGCAGCAAATGACGCAGTCTGCCGTGAAGCGGTCTCCGCTCACCGTCTCAATGCCAGCTTCGTCATGGCTCTCCCAATAATGGGCCACTGCGGCGTCTGGACCGACGCTTAGGTCAATGCCCAGGGTCTGTGCATGCTCGAAAAACGTCGATGCTAGCCTGGATCGAAGGGCCCAGTAACCGTCATTCCTTTGATACCCGGTCTTATCTGCCCATACCCAGTGAATCGCCCTCTAATCTATATCAGCTTCTGCTCTGCGGACGGAGAAACTGGGGTTGAAGAATTCCGACTTACGCACGAAAGTCCGAACGTCCACCTTGTCAAACGCGCTTACTGTATGGCCTTTTTGATGACACTCGATGGCAGCCGCCAGACCACCCATCCCGAGGCCCACAACGATTACCTTAATTCCAGACGAATTTGGAGGGGCCACCTCAGAAGGACCAGAGCCGGAGATTGCCATTTCTGATTATTTGTGATCGTAATGAAGAGAAGAGGAGAGGCGAACAGCCTGAGTTATTAAAATAATTGATTCAGCTTGGGACTCCAAGGTCTGGCTTTACACGTGGTCATTAACTATGAGAAAGAGGTTGGGAATATTAAAGAGAACATCTAGGGCAAACTAGGCCACTGCTCACATTCTATTATTACTCCATAGTACATTGCTTCTCCCAAATCGAGATCCACACGATGATCACAAGCCATAGAAGCACATTCTACTTGATAAAATGACTGACAGGGATAAATAGCAATTAAAGCATATGTAGTGTGTGATAATACAGCCAGAAGTACTCAGAATATACATAACGCATCGACAAACATATGCCGATCGTCTACTTTCCCCTGTTAAGGTAATCGCTGCCATCTACCTTGCCCACATCAACCAAGCGCCGGTTGAGAGCTTGCATGCTAAATAATCCAAGTGCGGATCTACTTGTCTGCTTTTCAGCTGGTCCAGCGTTTCAGGTGATTGATGCAGTGCACGATATGTGATGTTATCCCGTCGAGGATCAAGAATCTGGCTATGCGTGACATTCAGTAAGTAGCCTGCATATGGATTACCCAGCTTTTAGTTCCACTTCGTAGCAAGCCAATATGCTGTGACCTAGCACCTTCTGTCCATTCCTAGGGTTGGGTTTCATAGATTAAACCCATGAAAACGGGATCTCGAGTCCTCCAAGTCATGCAGATTCGACAAAGGGACTTGGCAAAATCACATTTAGGGACATTTTCAGCTGACGGTAGAGTAACCGTAATTTTTTCCTAAACAAAAAAAAGAAGTGCCCAGTCAGCAACCGAGAATTTCATTTGACATGATGTGCTATCTAGCTCGCTTAGAGAGCCTTGGTCAATACAGAGAAGTATGATAGTTACTAGCCCAACAAAAAATCCCTAATGACAATTCATGGATCTCGCAGAGGATTGGCTACAGTCGGATTGAGGCTGTACGGGACTGAGCCTCACTGGCACCGGTTTCTTGTCCCATGCACCCCATACCTTTTGGCCGGCGAACCAATCTTTTCCCTCAGTGCAGACCTCGATATCAAAGTGCAGCAAAAGCCTACTCACCACCAGCCGAGTCATGTAGTTTGCCATACTATAGACCCCAGTGTGGGGCGGGGCGCTGTCAGTAACAGATTCAGATACCACCACGTGGAGAGTGGGGCGATGAGAAAACTCACTCCTGACCTAAACAGCTCCGAGGCCCTAGAGAGAAAGGTTGAAAAGCAGCTTTGTTATCGCTGGAAAAGCAAACATCCGCGTCCATGAGCCAGCGCTCGGGACGGAAAGCATGCGGATCGTAGAAGTTGGCGGTGGATCGTTGTGTGCTGAAGGGGGAAGAATACACTCGAGTTCCTGCCGGCACCCAGCGGCCCGAGATCTCGGCTCCAGGCCTCGGGACGACGCGCGGCATGGGAATGGGCACCGCTGGATAGATGCGGTGAGCCTCCTTGATACAGGCGTCAAGGTATTCCAATTCCCGCAACTTCTTCATGTTAATGTCAGAGCTGGTCCGGAAGGCGCTGCGGATCTCTTGGGTTAATCGCTTCATCACCGCAGAATGCTGCCCGAGGAGTACTAGAAGACCGCTCAACAATGTAGTGGTAGTGTCACTTCCGGCGAACATAAAAAGTGGGGTATTGGCGCGGAGCTCTCCCTTGGTCAACGTCCTCTTTTCAGGTGCATGGAAAGCAAGATGGACGATGTCTGGTCGATCTGATTCCACCGCCAGGCGTTGTTCGAGTCGCTCGTTGGTGAACCGGAAGTACGCATCTCTCTGCTTTTTGATATACCCAGACGGAATGAGCCTGGAGAACATCATGACCCAAGGAAAGTCCATGAGTGTCGCCAGCATCTGCGACGACCGGATATAGCCGAACTGACTCTTCACCCAGGGAACATGTGTTGGCTCCTCGAGGAGGCGAAGGGATTCCCCAAAGTGAAAATCGGCAATAATATCAAAGAAAAGAAATGAGAACATGTCCACCATGTTGACTTGCTGGCCTGCTGCTCCGTAGAGCCTAGCGATGAACTTGTCCACATAGCTTGTGATTAGGGGCTCTTGGGAGGCCAACGCCTGGTTGGAGAAGAAATGAGTATACGCACTGCGCATACGCATGTGGTCCGCCTCGCTGGCGGTGACCAACGAGGATACACCGGTTCCTTCTTCCATGGATGCAAAACCAGCTAGATCCCTCGGCATGCCAGCGCGTCGCGTGGGATGGGATCCGTAGATATCTCTCCACGACTGCGCGTCCGCATAGCTGAGCTCGTTTGGACCAACCCGGACGACGGATCCGTATCTGTCATGCAGCGCTTTGAGCCAGGCGGTTGAATTGCCCAAAATCACGGCATACGCGATGGGAATTTGGCTGGCGGCCATAGCTGTTGGTCCGGGATACCGTCTAAGCGGGTGGAGGTATACATTGTAGAGGAGACTCAGGAAATACGACTGGTACAATTCATGCAGGCGTTAAATCTCTCGCCATCTAGGCGTTGTTAGACCATGGAAAGTGATGCTTACAATGATTAGCACAGCCAGAGCAACTTTGACACTGAACCAGTCCAATATTTGCGCCATGTTTGGTTACCCGAAATAACCTAAGAAATCAAGATAGAGGAAAGGTAGGTAATTGTTATAAGATGCGTTCAATGCTGGCATTGACGTAGTTAATATGATCGTTTATTATAAAACCCTATGGCAGGGGGAAGTACTTGAGAAAAGGAAAACACAAGCAAACAACGCATGAAAAGAGACACGAGAATGGCGGAATAGGGAAATGAAAAATACCGAGTACAAAACCATTAATAGTAATTATGCAATATATGTATATCAGACAAGATTGTGAGTGAACACTCATGTAATATCCTAAGAACCAGTCAGATCAGAGCTGAAAGATAGTGGAGAGAGATACCACATTATCACAGTTGCACATACGGACATACCTAATTCACAGAGGACTATTTTTGAGATCATCTCAAAAATCAATTAATCATGTATAGTAAATGATGGGTCCGTGCATTGCTGCAGACAGAAATATGTAGACCAACAATCAGCCAGCCACCAGTACAGGGCTTCAGGTCACTTGTGTAATTGTCCGGACTCCGGAGTAGCCAGACCAGTTTAGGAGATAAATTGACTTACTGTTAGTCAAGCTTGCAAGGTGGGAAGTTGTGATACTGCCTGTTGGTTGCTGGCTTGGCAGGACGATAGCAGGTTCTTCAGGAATACGACTATGCTGTTCGAGATAGCTTCATTTATTCCCAATCAGAGAGTAGCTAATCTGGTCGAATATTAAGATTGTTTGTCTAAACACAGGGATTCTCTTCATTTCTCAGAATATGTGTGTCTTTGTTTCGCGGATTAAATAGGTCCTGGATAGTTCCTATACTGGCCCAAGATTAGCCACTCCGGCGTTGCATATCTATACTTGACATAGACTCCAAATTCTTCTGTGTTTGTCTTCATTCTAAGGATCTCATGTTGTCTCTCGCGTGCTCTCTTTGACAAAATGTGGCCTCTACAACGAGAGTTGCTCAGTTAACATTTCATTGGTGTTCACTCTGGGCGTTGAATCATTTACAGACTGAGAATGACAACTGATCCCCAATTTAGTCCTAGAGAAGAAGAAAGTTGTTTATCTGTCCTCCCCCGATGAACTGGGAGTCGTGATGGGACATTTAGCTAGTGGATATATCTTGGCATAATGAAAGAATAACAGATTCATTCACACAAAACCCAAGAAGGCATGTAAGACACTATAAATTTATACTCTCAAAACTCTCCACCTTATGCTGTGTCGATACCACATTCATAACTTTGATATGTGGCTCCTCATCAATAAACTGCACTGCCTGTGCCAGTTGGTTCAACAGCTGTTGCATCCTAGCCGGTTTGAGCATGTTCTGGTCATACATGGCTTGAACCACGGCTGATCCACTTGATACAGAGCACATGAGTAACAAAGCCGTCGGGAAGCCCATATTCTTATGCTGCCATGTGCGCGCAAAGAAATAAGATGTGCTCTGAAGCATCTCACCCTGCATGATTACAACAGTGGTTCGCAGTCTGCACGCTGCCGTCGCGTCTGGACTCAGCCTTCCTATCCGCACAGTATCGATATCTTCAAAATCCGACATTTCCATTAGTTGGTTGGCAACCTTTTGTTGGGCGTTTAGAAGCGTTTCCTCTCTATCTAACTGAATGCGCACGGGCAATATGCAAGTGGTTGGGCCCATCATCTCCATAATTCCCGACACAGGCGCCCCGCGTCTGATGAACGATCCGCCGAAGACGATATCAGAATCATCTATCTCGTGAGATATGGCAATTGCCAGAGCCAGATAGAGCTTAGAGGCGAGCGTTCCATGGTCCGAGGCTTCGATGGTGATCGGAAATCGGGCGTCCAGTTGAGAGTTGATTGTGGGTGTGTAGTTCGCGGACGGCAAGACGTGAGGAAAGAGTTTCTTGCTCTGGAAACCGGCAAATGTCTTCTTCCAGAACTGGACTGTGTCTGGTGAAGAGCGCCGTTCCCATCGCACAAACGGGCTATAGGGACGATATGGCAGGTCACGCCCCTCATATGCCTCTCTCAGCAGAGCAAACAGCTGAGCGAAGGAGAAAAGGTCGTATGCCACATGGTGGATCATGACGAGAAACCGATCCTGCAGCGTCGCTAGTCGTATTAATGGGTGGTTGAAGCCCCAGATGTCAAATGTGCCGTCATAATCACCGTTTCTGCTGTCAAGGCTCTCTACAGGGACGCTTGCTTGCTTGAGTACAACTTGAAGGAAGTCCCCATCCGTGCTACTGCTGCCCATGGGTACCAATCGCGTCCGTAGCATGGGATTAGCCTGCACTACCTTGTGCCACGCACTGATAAAACGGCCTCGATCGAGGTCCGGGTGCAGTTCACCTTCAAATAGGAGTGTGAAATTGCCCATATTTTGAAGGCACATTTGGACGATCAGTGCTTGCGGGCCAGAGCAGGGGTAGATGTCCTCGATCTCGTCAAAGGTGAGGCCACAGTCATTGCTCAAAGCCAGCATACGTCTCATCCGAGTCGTTTCGTCCTTACCCAGAAGTTCAAATGGCCCTGGGTTCGTAACCGCACTGGAGGATGCGGTCTCCCTCTTGATCACCGCCGCCATGTCCGCAAGCACTGGATGCTGGAAGATCTCCCGCACAGTGATAAAGAGCCCTTCCATCTGTAGCTCTCCGACCAACCGGATGGCCCGCAAGGAGTCGCCCCCTAGGCGCCACCAGTTGGAGTGGCGCCCGACAGTGGAAAACGAAGTTCGAAGGGTCTTTGTCCACAGTCTGCGCAGCGTCTCTTCCATTACGTTTCTGGGTGGGCTGAACCCGTCTTCGTCCCCGCGATAAGCGGCTAATCGCTCTGAGGGGAGCTGCATCACCATTTCCTGCAATGCCCGGCGGTTTGCCTTTCCCGATGTCGTGATGGGGATATGATCCACAGGGAAGAAGAGGCTGGGAACCATGTACCGGGGAAGCTGTCGTAGCAGAGCTGCTTCGGACTCTACAATGCGATTCTGGAAGTTCTTTGTCGGGGGTCGAAGGAGGGTGTTGTCAGAGATATGAGATTGATTCTCCTCGCCTTCTATGGTCTCCTTGACGAATGCAACCAGCCTAGAAGACTCCCCAGCACCAAAGAAGACGACCTCAGCGATGATATCCAGAGCACCTGGGAAGCACTTTCGCAGGTGATGCTCGATATCCTCCAGCTCAACCCGCTGACCGTTAATTTTGACCTGTGCGTCTTTGCGGCCCAGAAAGATAAGCGAGCCGTCGCGCTCGTACTGAACTAAATCGCCGGTCCGATAAACGCGAGACCTCTCTCCTCGTCGTAGGGACGACAACCAATCTGGGCTGACGAACGCGGCAGCCGTTCTGTCAGGATCATTGAGATACCCACGGGCCAGTGTCGGCCCTTCAATGGCCAACTCCCCGGGTGACCCTACAGGCATCAGAACCTCCGCATTTTCTGGATCTATAACCCAGAATCTCGCTGCCAAAGGGAATCCAATATTACCGGGCGCGTCAATTGACCTTGCTAAATCGAGATTAACCGCGCAAGTAACCGAACATTCGGCCGGGCCGTACTCACCCAGCAGCCGAACATACGGCGACCAGGTTTCAATGTCGGACCGGGCCACTTTCTCTCCCCCCAGGCCCAGCAGCTGCAGTGAAGGAACCGCGTCTGGTGAAAGTAGCCGAGCCACGGAGGAAGTGACAAAAGCACAATTCACCTGATGCTGGTTGATAAAACCCCGTAGGTTTTCCTGGCGATCTATCTCGGACGGCACGCAAATACACGCCCCGGCCATCAGGCTCAAGAGCTGGTCAGAGATACTGACGTCGAAGGCGTACGAGGAAAACTGCAGGAGGCGGGTTTGTGTCGTGAAAGGAATTAGCTCAATCTGCGCGATGGCCATGGTGGCAAACGCAGCATGCTCAATTACCACCCCCTTCGGCTTGCCAGTCGTTCCAGAGGTGAAGACAGCATAGGCGGCATTGCTAGGCTTGACGGGAGATCGGTGGCCCAATGGCGGCTCTATTCCTTCACCTGATGGTATCCAACTGTCGCCGTCAATGATGATCACCTTCGAGGATAGCTCAGATGCTGCCTTGGCACAGGAAATAGTAGCAACAAGCAATGGGGCAGCAACCTCACGGAAGATCTCTCCGAGGCGCTGAACTGGGTAGGATGGGTCGAGAAGCACAAAAGCCGCTCCCGCTCGGAGGATCCCCAGAATGGCCACCACCGTCCAGCGAGACTTCTCAAAGCAGATAGGAATGAATGTCTCAGGCCCAATCGCGTACTCATGAAGGAGGTGGGCCAACGCAGCAGAGTGGCGGTCGAGCTGTTCGTAGGTGAACTCCCCATCCCAAGCAGAGACCGCGATTTTCTCCGGATGCTGCTGGCAGCGTTGGAGGATGAGTTCATGTATACACAGATTAACCGATGCAATGGGCGTCTTATTCCAGTTTGACATTTGTTGATCAGAAGGGGTGGATCTCTGCCAGCCCTCTGGAAGTGCGATTGCTTCAACTCCAGGCATTCTGGCTGTGCTCTGTGTTGTATGCGGGGATAAAATTGCCTATTTGCCTCAATTTTGGTATATAACTCTGAAGACTTGACGGTTGTCAGGTGTGCGGCGTGGGCTTTGTTGTTTGTTAATCAATCATATAAATGATATAAATGATGTCTTCCAAAAGGGACGAAAATTCGCCGCATAGGCCGGTTCGGACCGTGGACACACTTTCTCCAGGTATTTTGCTCGACGCGTTTGCCTGGATTGCATATTGGCAAGCTTGCTTGCTAATCCCTCCTGTAAAGAAAATTACCTGGCACACGAATACAGGTAGCCCTTGCTGCAAGCATTGCGCTCATCACACAGGCCTTGCCTGCAGATTGGCAAATTTCAGGCAGTTTAATGTCGCCTCTGAGCTCATCACATCCTACAGTAGTCGGCGCTCATATGCAGATCACCAAGTGCATTCACGGCTAGATCACAATTACCAGAAGTGGAAATGTTATACGTGGGCCAGGGAGTGGCGATCAGCTGGTATCTAACAGTGATAAATTTTCAATCTCCTTCGTACTGCAGAAAGCCGAATGCGGTTGATCCCCTTTCACTAAGAACAAAGAGAAAGGCCATGGATAGTATGTACATGTACTGGCCTGTGTAAAATTTCGACTATTACCTGAGCGTTGAGGGGCCGACTCCGGGGTGGCCAACTATTGTCTTGCCGATGTATGGACTATGATAAACTAAAGATCATAGAATACACGCATAGGACTTTCTGTCTCGATCTTTCAACTCCTCAAATCCATGCTTTCTTTGAGAAAGAAAGGCATAGCAAAAGACTACCATGTAGGACCTTTGCCATACACCGCTCTCTCACAGATATATATCTTAATCGGGCAGGAACCAGGCGTCTAGTCACGCACCGTGACAGGTAAGTCCGGGTCTACGGGCTGATGCTGGCTTTGACCCTTCCCATGATAGCGTGCGAGTCTTTTTCCATGGCTGCCCAAGTCCGTTCAATGATCTGGTGACTTTCAGGGCTGCGGGATTTGAATACAGCCTCAAAGGGCGATGGGGGGCAGGTGACACTCTGCTGCATATCCCATGGGTCTACCTCCACCTTCTTGCCCATCTTGTACGCTGGAGAAATGTTGAAGGCCCAAAGTATGCGGGCAATCACAATAAGCAATGAGTTGAAAGCAACGTGACGGCCGATGCATGCCCGGCGGCCGAATCCAAACGCCGCCAGAGGCAGATTAGTGTTTAAAATCCACCGCTCTGGCCGGAACTCAGTCGCCTGATCGAATATCGCCTCGTCCAGGTCCATCGCCCAGTGGTTGGGGAGGATGATGGCATCTTTGGGAATCCGATAACCCATGTATTCGTCGTCTTCATTGGTGGAGTGAGGGAATCCCAACGGAGTCAGTGGCCTCCAGCGTAGACATTCCAACGCAACGGCGCGGATGTACGGTAGTTGCTCCAAATCGTCAACAGTGGGAAGACGTTGCAGTCCAACTACACGGTCGACCTCTGCCTGGGCGGTCTTCATCGCCTCTGGAGCGGTCAGAGCTGCCAGAACGAAGACGGCCAGTACGCCCGTGGTCGTATCACTTCCGGCTTCAAACAGGATCCCCAGCACATATGAGAGCTCATCGGGTGAAAGTGCTTGAGCCTCTTTCTGCTCAAGCGCTTCCTGAACCCAGTTCCAGGACGGGCTTTGGCGCCCTTTATCCAAGAGCTCAGTGTAGAAGGAAACAGTCTTGCGGTGGGCCTGCCTTCCTCGACGCTTCCACGGTGCCATCCACTCCGGGAGTCGGTTCAATCCCGGGAAAAGCTCCACTAGAGGTAAATTAGATATGAGTTTCGTGAGGTCGTGCGTGAGAGTGTGCATTGTTGTGATCTCAGGCGCATCAGGCGTTTCCAGCCGCTTGCCGTACGCCATAGTGCACATTAGACTCGACGAAAAGCGCTGAAACAGCGCGGCAAACCCATTATCCGTGAGAAGGTCGTGTAAAAGATGCAGACTCTCTCCGTCCTGGACTAGTAGATAGTGCTTCGCCCAGTTGGCCCGGAGGAACGCCGTTTGAATTCGACGATGAGTCTGCCATTGCGGACCGTACGGCATCATGGCTGTGTGGAACCCATTACTCACACATTCGTTTGCAATGATTAACCGAGGGCGGGAGCTATACAACTTGCTGCGCCTGTCAAGCAGTTCCCGGGCGACGCTATGAGACCCGATGGACAAGATGGTCCTTTGGCCGTATTTTAGACAGATGATGGGTCCATACATTTTGTGCCATTCCTGAAACTTCCGCCAAGGGGCCTTGATAGGAGTTTGATGGGCATTCCCCAGTATGGGCAAAGGCCTCGGGCCTGGAGGTAGCGGAAGTTTCGACTTGTTGTTGCTTGCTAGAAGATTGCATGCTCTCCAGATGATTAAGAAGGTCAACAAGAGGAACAAATATGAGGGACAGTCCAGGACAATCATTGTTTTAAGGCAAAAAGGAGTGCAAACTTAAACAAGTCTTGGAGTCTTCCCACGTATTCGCTAATAGACACAATTCATCCTTCAGCTTTATAGAAGCCGTGCGTAGGACTACTACCTGGCTGAGCCCGTACCAAAGTGCAAAAATTGTTTACAGAATGCTGAAATGACAAAAATGGAAATAGCCCCCCTCCAAAGAAAACAAACAAAAGGACAATTAAATAATAATAATAATAATAATAAATGGAATAGAATAAAATAGAATAAAATAGAATAAGATATATTAATCTCAAAACAAAATAGACAGGTCTGTTTTTTCTGTCTTGCTGCAATGTTTGACAGCATGGACTTTGGCCAAGGAGGCTACAAGACCAACTCTCAATTGACCGCGCCGAAGGAGGCAACAGAACATCTGTCGTCCGCGCATGATTTTCAATTATCAAGACAGATTTGTGATATGCGCCAGTAATGAGAGAGTTCATCAGCCTTTCTCCTCAATGCTCAGCCAGCCATACTTGCAGGTTGCAAATGTCTGACGGGCAGAGGAAAAAGCAATGAGTTTCAAACCTAACATCGGCTGAATTTAAAGTCTGATTATTTCCATACCCAGCTTAGCCAATTTTGCAGGTGAGAGGCTACTTTTTAATGCATCCTCTGCTGAGATTCCACGGACGTTACACAAAAACAGCATATCACGGTGATCCGCGAATAGGGCTTCATGCGAGAAGAGGTCAGAATGCAGAGTGATTGCTCGGCTTCCACAAACCCACACCTCCTCGATTTATTGAATCTAGAACTAAATGCTATTCTGAGTGATCGCTCCAGTCTGCTTGGTTTTTATTGCTTGAAAAGGGAAATGCAGATAGTTCCCTTGGGAGTGCTGATACTTACTGAGCTCAGCTCACATGTACAATTGCATACTGGTATGAAGGATATTTGTAATTCTCAATCATAACTTGCCACTGGTGCTTTTCCAGAGCACATGGTGGTCCATAGGAAGATGAGACTGCTCATTCTTACTTAACCGACTCAGTTGCCACATGTATATGCCTGACAACAGACAAGCTTTCCAGTCTGGACATCTCGATTGACCTTATCCTTCGGCTTTTTATTTCTTCTCCCACAATGCGTTACATCAATCATTTTAACTGTCCCGTAGACTGGGCGGTCTCCGTCAGGACCAGTCATGACAAGTTCGGGTTCCTTGATCCGAATCGTCCGGAGAAGTCAAACAGCTGTCCCAATTTTGAGATCCTATGCCCTGCCGCGTTGGGGGTTGACTGGAGGACCTCCCTGAGGGGTTCGAAGCAGAATAGATATGACAAGATGGCCGAAGAAGCGGCATACGAGCTATGGCATGAGATTCGGCGGGCGGATATCGACCAGCAGGGGGCCTTGCCCAAAACCATCAAGAAGAGGGATAAACAGTTCGAGGTGATGAATACGGCTATTGACTGTGCTATTAATCTCTATTCATCCTGTGATCCCCAGAAGATAAGAGTGGTCACTAAAGCGATGATGCTCTTGTTCTTACACGACGGTAAGTTCACGGAAACGAAGATATCTTCTAACCTTTGTACTGATAATCTTTACAGATGTCATTGAATACGCCTATTCCAAGGATGTAAGAACGAGGCAGCCGCGATCCTTCAGAAGTGCACGATAGATTCCGGATTCCGATGCTGACTTGTCTGCCAGAGCGATACGATCCTAGAGCAAGAAATAGGCATCCACGGCACAGCCGAGGAGACATTGCGTACCGACCCTGACAAGGGGGCCATCTGGGCGAGATTTGTACGACAGACGCTGGAGATTGATCCTGTCTGGGGCCCTGGCCTCCTGCGAGGCATGATTGCCTGGAGTGCATTTACGAATGAACATCAACATTCGCTCCGGAGTTCCTTCTCTACCCTGTCCGAGTACCTACAGTTTCGAGAGATGGATGTCGGCAATGAGTGACTATTCCCCTTTCTGTTGAATTCCTCATATTTGAGAATGGGCTGACTTCGCAAACTCCAACTCAGGGTGATCATCGCGTGCCTCCGATACAGCTGCGAATTCCAACTGACGCCAAGCGACGTCGACGCCGTGCACGACCTGGAGACGCTGATGGTCAGACATTGTCTTCTAACAAATGACCTGTTTTCCTTCAATAAGGAACAGTGTGAGCGTGTCTCAACGGGAGCGTCAATTGTCAATACCGTCGAGTGCCTGCGAACTTTAATGACGACCTCTGTGAGTGCTGCCAAATCCATGGCGCTGACCCTTCTCTGGGAGGTTGAGCAGAAGATGCATGAAGTCTACGAGCGAGGGTTGCTAGAATGGACCGACTTACAGGCTCTTTATGCCCAACGCGTGATCGAGTTATCCGCAGGTAACTATTTCTTCTCTGCAACTACCTACCGCTACTCCACCGAAGCCATCAAAGTGCATCTTGACTTTGCCTCTAAGGTTGGCGCATCTTTGTAGGTCAGTTCATCTCGTGTCACTTTCTGTTTTTGACTGTTTCATCCTGTGTGTCTGTCTTATTCGTACTGCTGTTTTGTGTCTTACGCCGTTCCTTGGAGATACAACTTCAATGAGAGATAGTAGAGTGCGAGGCCTGCTGTAATAATACATAGTAGACTATTCCCTACGCTGATCTATGATTGCTCTATGTTCATGGCGTTCCTTGGGATAGATATTAACTTGTTTTAGCCATTGCTTAGCTGCACAGGCTTCTTCATACTGGAGGAATGCTGGCATTAGTGGTGAAATGATTGACAACACTGTGTGTTAGCTTAATAACGATCAAGCAAAGTTAAGGAGGTCACATCCTGATACGCTGTTGATTTATTTCAAAGAGAATGCCATAGTGGCTGTCATTCTTAGGAAAACAGATGTGTTCTGAATGAATTTGTTTCATACTGGTTTAAGTCCTGTCATAAAATCAAGAATGAGATAAAAATAGCAAAAGCCAGCCGCTTCCCTATCTGTCTACATCACTAGCCTGTGTCATCTCTCCTGTAAGAGTCATTTTCTCGTTCAAACCCAGACCGCCATCAGCTGGGACGTTAGTTGGGATATATTCCTGGTTGGTTTCCATCGCGTGAACCACCTTTTGGTACTCCTCGTACGCATATGCTTGACAGTCGTGGCTAAGAACCCATCCTGGGCGCGAGCTCTTTAGCAGTTTTGGATCCTTGGCTACGGCATCCCAATCCTGGTTGTACCAGTCATTGTGCATGGCCCAGCTCGCTTCAGAGATTCTTGTAGCGCGAGGTTTTCTACGACAAGAAAACTGGTCAGACGGACAGGTTTCAGAGTTGAAAGTCAGGAAACTTGCCTTATTTGTTCAGCCACCTGTAGAGCCTGACGGACATTACCCTTTCCACTCAGCTCAAGTGCGATCGCCAACACTGCAGCATCCTCAATTGCCTGACTACCACCCTGACCAAAGATGGGCAGGTACGAGTGTGCAGCGTCTCCAATCACAATTGTTCTCCCACCAGCGGAGATCCAGGTCTTCAAACAGTCACGAAGGGCGATTGGATGATGGATCACGCCTAGTGGAGGAATATGCTTCAACAAACCAGCAAAGTCCCTTTGGATTGGCCAGTCGGCGATAATTTGCATCACATCATCGAGACTGCCAGGTGGTCTTCCCAGCTTCTCCATTGCAAGGTCTGACTAGAAGGCCGAGATTTAGTTAGGCGTCACCATCGTAACAAGAGTGATGAAGGATAAAGTAGGAGGGAGGGCCGCACGTTACATATAGCTACCAGAACGATGGTCTGCCCATTCTCGAAAGAGGAGAAGCCAACCTCAAGGCCGCGGCCTTTGAACACCTTTCCTCGATCACATTCATCCATACCATTCAGAATCCATCTTGCAGCTGGATCGTCCTTCAACTCCACTGTAGTGAAAGATGTTCGAAAAACATATTCCTTAGTAGATTTCAAAGGGGGATCTTCATGGAGAATGATCTGTCTACCATTGCTGTTGATCCCATCGCAGCAAATCACACAGTCAGCAGCAAATCGCTCTCCGTTAATAATAACTCCTGCTTCCTCATCGGTCTCCCAGTAATCCGTCACAGCTGCATCCATGCCGACATGCAGGTCGATGCCCAAACTCAGCGCATGCTCATAGAGGGTAGCCGCGAGCATCGATCGTAGCACCCAGTAACCGTCTTCTTTCTTGTAGCCCGTCATATCGGCCGGCATGATGGTTCGGCCTGCTGTGTCGCATATCTCAGTCGCAGGAGATGCGTTCTTCACGCTGGACAGGATTTCGTGAATTGCACCCTCACCCCACTTGGCAATTACGCGGGCGGAATTGGTCGAAATTCCTAGTAGATCTCCGTCTGGGCTTGATTAGATTACTTCGAGGAGGCATTGCAGCTGCAGAGGGACTCTCACGCGTATCTGTGTGCACAGGTATTTTATCAAAGGCCATCACCGCATGACCTTTACGGTGGCATTCGATGGCAGCTGCCAGCCCACCGATTCCCAGACCAACGACAATCACTTTGATCCCGGATGAATTGGGAGGGGCGACTCCATCGGGACCTGTAGAGCACGGGATGGTCATTTTCGGATGCTGATATGGGGAATGGATTTGGAAGCAACGAAAGTGAGGAGTTCGCATGAGAATTCAGGATTTCAACTCCTCAGCAGGGTGATTCAATAATATATAGGGCTTTCGCCATAACCAGGAGGTAGAATGCAAACTCTCCCCCCACACTCTTTCGCCCACGATTTTCAAGTGTCATTTACTTAGACAAAGAATCAAAATCGAAATCAACATTGCCATAAACAAGAGACAAGTCAACACCAATCAAACAGCCCGTCTCTCCTCACAGCTAATGCAGAATTTGGTATGAGCTGAATCCAAATCGCAATGATTGCAATTGCAGGCGTGGTTGTCTATGCTGTGATAGTGCGACAACACCTTGCATCGAGTCTGATATTTGCGTCAGCCGATCTCGACCTTGCCCACCACCGCTACTGCATGCAGGGTAGGGTGGTGTGTCACTTTATACCACATATGCAGATTTTGACCATAGCACTATGATGATGTTGTGTAAATGACTACTGATTTTGGCCATACACAGAAGAAGCAAGTATTATATCATGTATCTATTTTTGCGTATGGTGAACTGACAAATGAGCCTGGAATAAAAAATGATTAGCGAGAGTGCCACTTGCTGCCACACATTCACAATACGGGTTGTCGTGGCTGAAATGAACCGTAACAATAATCTCTCTAAAATGGGAAATTTCCAATTCTCTGCTGTAGTGTCGAAACGATGGCGCTACTTTATTCAAATTTCTCTTCCTGTATGGGAAGAGTGGGATACCACAGACAGCTCACAACAATGGGAATGAAGGGCGACCTGAGACCATCTTATTCAAGCATGAGAAATCTAAGTTACCGCAAATTTCACCGTCAGATGTCAATGGCTGCTACCCTCCACGATCCATTCCTAGCTTCATCTGACGCTCCTTGATTTCCCGCATCAACAAGTCGATATCCTTCTCGGCATTGATCCATTCCCTTTCGATCATCATACGGTGATGAGTGCTCCGAGGCTCGAAGATGACCTTGAATTGCTGCGGAACGGAGATCAACGCCGACGAAGAGGCTCGGTCATCAGGAGCCTTGGAGTCGCCATTTTTAACATTGTAGGCCCATAGGATGCGCGAGAACATTAAGAATAATGAGTTTTTCCCAATGTCTCTACCAGGGCAACCCCGGCGCCCGTATCCAAAGAAACTTTTGAACCCACCGTTCTCAACCTTCTCCAGCCATCTCTCCGGGCGAAACTCCAGGGGTTTGTCGAACCTGCTCTCATCTAGTGACATGGTATACCCGAGGGCGAAAACGGTTGCTCCCTTGGGGATTGTATATCCCAAGCAAGTGTCTTCTTCCATCATTCCATGCGGGAACATGAGGGGACTGATGAGGCGCCAACGTTGGGTTTCGTCGACCACGGCTGACATGTAGGGTAATCTCTCACAGTCCCCGAGCGATGGCAGCCGGTCAGGGCCAACGACACGATCCAGTTCTTCCTGGGCTTTGCGCATGGCTTCGGGGGCAACGATCGCCGCCAGGGTGAATACTTCCATGATGGTAGAGGTGGTTTCGAGCCCGGCATCGATTAATAGACCTAGATCGTAGGCGATCTGGAGTGGACTGACTTGCCGACCTTCAGGGGAGGCGGTAAATTCCTTGGCCCAGTTCCAGGAGGAACTTTGGAGACCCATCTTCATGTGCTTGAGTAATACGCGGGATTCAAACGAGGCTATCTCGTCTCCGATCTTCTTCCAAGGAGCGAGGAATCTGGGAACAATGTGGTCCAAGACGGGGAAAAAGTCCACCAGCCACGGGGAGGCGGTCACCATGGTGAAATTGTGATGTCTCTGCAGCCACTCCTGCAGTTCAGTTTCCTCGCCTGTGATAATGCGCTTCCCATAGACTAGCGAAAAGATGACGCTGGCGTTGAACCGCGTATACAGCTTCTTATAGTCGTTGGAGGACAACATTTCATACAGGGTGTGCTTTGTCTCGAGGTCCTGCACGGAAGAATATGTCTGCGCGGCCCGACGGCTCATCACAGGGCCTTGCATGCGCTGATGAAGTCGGTAGCCCTCATGGTACATTCCGTAGGCATTGTACATCCCCTTTCCCACATGATCTTGAAACATTACCATGCGCGGCCGGTCGCTGGCCGAGCGCTTTTCCAGGACTCTGCACGCAATCTGAGGATCGGAAATAACGACATACACAGACCCAGCCAGGTTGAGGGAGAAGATGGGACCGTATTTGCGACTCCATTCGTCGAATTTCAACCACTGGCGCTTCAAAGGCATCTGGAGAAGGTTGCCGACGAATGGAAGTCGGGGAGGCCCTGGAGGCAGTTTTCGATCACGGTAATGCTCATAGAACAGGCGCAGAACTGTTATCGCGAAACTCACAAGGAGAAACGCAAAGAGATCCATCTTGCTAAATGGCCCAATGAAAATATAATAGTGTGCTTTGGAGCAAAGCCTGAGGAGATTCGTGCTTGCAAGAAGTCGCAGATGCAGAATATACAGACAAGACGAGTGAAGGTCTTTCCTGGATAAAGGGGAGAAGGGGACAGAATCCGAATGAGAGTCGGAAAGGTTCAGCGAGTAGTTTAATTTCAACACAATACAGCAGACAGTTGCACCCTGAGATAGTGTATTGACATAAAGAGATGGTCTATGCAAATTACGTTGATTAACTTTGCTTTCTGAACGTGTGGGATCGCTTTGACGATTTCTGTAGACTTAGCCTGAATGATGATAAAATTAGGACAAAAGGGTACTTATCATCCTTCGAATTGCCTGTTTGGCATCATTTACATGAGCTTCTTGTTGACAATTGGCCGGTTGCTAATTTGCATTTTGACTGATGCATGACTGCACACCCAGACTCGATCTTTTTTTTGACAGGATAAAGATGAAGATAGAGGTAGAGGGAAAGAAACAGAAACAGAAAAAAAAAATAAAATAAAATAAAAAGAGAGAGAGAAGGAAAACCAAAAAGAAAATGGAAATGAAAAAAAGGCCATACGGAAACAACGCAGCTTACCCAGGAGAGGAAAGTAAAGACAATGATTAGAAAGTCAGTCAAAGAGCAATGCACGGATGTGGCCTCAGCTGAAAAGCACGTCATGTCGCCAAGTGGTTGGAATAGTTACCCAGTGGGCCAGTTAAGCAGTTGAGATGACAACCTGCCTGCTGTCTTAGTGCTACGTAGTACAAAGTGTCACGCGCCGTAGCCTGGTCCAAGTGTGCAGGAGGATCGCCTAGTGATGCGAACTAGGTCCCCGCATAGATGAAGTCAAGTCAAATGCATGAGAAATAGGCGTCTGCAGAAGTATGTCACACAATACACTGTCTGGATATTGGATGTAGTTGTAAGTACTAGTAGTAGATCTTTAACCTTTTGGAGAACTATGCATCTAAGTGAATCATCATATTAACTTGTTTGCTGCAGACTAGCAAATAATAAGAATGTTTTTCTCTGAGAATCTATCATATAACTCGGATCATGTAATACAAATACACAAGACAGATCAGGAAAGGTAATGATTGAATACCAAAAGAACAAATATCAAGAGGCCTGGTTATTGGACTGGACCAGGCTGAGTGATTTGTTCAGTACTTTCATGTGATAATCATACACCTTTTGGTGTTAAGTAGCCTGAAAAAATGTATTGGGTCACTGCTCTGTTACTCTGGGAACTTTGTGCTGAATGCGTATATATAAACACTGATGAGGCATGCAAGGTATAACATCAACAGCCAAATCATCACTTTATTAACCATAAACACAGCACCTAAATGTTCAAATATCAAGAAGTCGAGTTCAAAAGTCTAGATGGACTCACCCTCCGTGGCCGTCTTTATCCCGCTGCCAACCGTGGTCCAGCTATTGTTATAACCTCTTCAGTGCGTGGTGCTTGAAGCAACCTCCTTTCCTCAGGTCCACTACTAGGAACTAACTGCAGAATCAGTTCAATCTTGTCAAGGAGATCGCGGTACCGGAAATCGCGGAGATCTTCCAACGCAACGGAATTACCGCTCTGATCTACGACCATCGCAACTATGGCGACAGCGAGGGACTCCCGCGGAACGATGTGGATCCTGAAAAGCAGTGCGAGGACTGCTCAGATGCCCTGAGTTTTCTTGCCAGCCTGCCAATTGTCGATTCCTCTCAAATTGGACTTTGGGGGACTTCCATTAGTGGTCTGGTCTGTCTCAAGGCCGCTGCAATCGACCGACGATTTAGACTGGTCATCGTCGTGTCGCCCTTCCTCACAGAGACGTATGACTCCGCCAAGGTGCACAAGTTTCTACGCCGGTGCATCAGAGATCGTGAGGCTCAGCTCAAAGGAAATGAACCTTTCCGAATTCCGCTGGTCACTGAAACCGGCGCAAATCCGCTCGGGTTCGGTCCTGATTTCGGGGTTGAGGCTTTCCAGACTCTCTCCCTACTGAAGGAAACCATCGCGCCCAATTACGAGAGTGAGATGACTATCCAAACCTGGCCGCGGGTACTCGGCTTCAACCCACTCCCCTTGCTGCAATATCTCAGTCCTACCCCAGCTATGGTGGTAATCCCTGAATTGGATACGATCTCACCCTCGTATCGGCAGAAGGAACTGTTCAATGCTTTGCCAGAGCCCAAGCGGCTGTACAATGCCATTGGAAAGGGACATATCGACGTAGTGATCGGCGATGGCTGTGCAGATGTCATTATGGCGCAAATGAACTTTTTTAAGGAGGTTATGAGCGGGCAATTTAATGTTTAAAAATCCAGATGAAGTTCTGATCCCACATACTGAGAGCTGTCACAGTAGTTCAACGATTGTACGTACTTAGAGCTCATCCTTATGTCACCTATAAGATTACTTTATTGTATGGGCCTGCATAGCATGGGTGCTGGTTGAGGAAGATAGCTACCTAGGTTGAAAACGCGCTGCGCCGGGGATGTGTTCGGTGCTGTAGTTACGCAAACTAGCTAGGGAAGATGCGAGGCAGCCCCACACATCAAAAAGCTGTGTATTGCTTAGAAAAAGAAATCAAAAAGAAAGATTCAAATACAGATACCGCGCACCTCCTAACTGTATTTGAAAATCGGGACAGGAGCTCGAGCCGTCTTGCATTGGTGGCCCAGTACTGGTAGTCATTAGTTAATTTACGCAGGTGATGGGTTCAAAATAACAATGCAACCAGTTGATTGTGATCTACCTGCAGTTAAGTAGCTGGGCACAGGTTCAGCTTCATGCTGTGTCAAAGTATGATCCCTATACAGCATTATGCGGAGATCTCCTCGTCTCGGAGATACTCAGGATAGGCCGCCACAAATCGCATTCATCGCGTGGATTTATAATCGATGGAGTGTCGGTATATTGACATACAGGCATTTTAATCGGGCATATCCTCTTTGTCAGTAATCCTTGATTGTCTTTTTCTGGATCGAGAAATCTTAAAGCAGAACCACCATGGGGGACTATCAGGTAGCGCAGGAAATGCCTCTCGAGCAGTCTATTGCCATCATTGGCATCGCATGTCGCCTTCCTGGGGACTGTAATTCCCCTCATTCCCTGTGGGAAATGTTAAGGAAGGCTAGACGGGCTAGCAATACTGTTCCTTCCTCTCGGTTCAGAAATGACACTTCTCACGATCCATCAGACGAACCGGGTCGTTCACAATCTATCAGCGGCTGCTTTCTCGAGAATGTGAACTTGGTTGAGTTTGACGGGGAATTCTTCGGCATCTCCGCAGAAGAGGCCATGTGTATGGAACCCCAACAACAGCTGCTTCTTGAAGTGGTGTATGAATGTCTGGAGAACGCTGGACTTTCCCTGGCCGCCATTAATGGGCATCGAATGGGTTGCTTCGTCGGCTGCTCCGAAAGTGGTACGTCTCTGCCGCGGTTGTGCCGTGATATAAACAGTCACTGACCAGTCAATCTAAAGATCATGCGGAAAGGCAAGCACAGAACCCAGAAGATTGTCCTCCATTCCAAGCAACGGGTGTCGGTCGTGCGAGTGTGAGCAATCAAATAAGTCGCTTCCTCAACATAACTGGCTCAAGGTAATCCGCTTCAACCCGGCCAGCTTGTTTCGAATTTAGGTCTACTGACCGCCTCCTGCCTTGCTGTATAGCACGACCATCGACGCCGCATGCTCCGGCAGTCTAGCCGCGGTAGAGCTTGCCTGTCGGTATTTAGTATCCAATGACATTAGTGCAGCCATCGTGGCCGGGGCAAATATCATTCTCAAGTACGTGGAAAAGGCCAACATCGATGGAAAAAGGCAGAGAATTTTGACGCTGATGTGCCCATACTAGCCCCGAACGCCTCATGGATTGTAGGCTCCCTTCTTCTCCCCCAAATCCATATCTGACATGCTCCTTAGGCGGGCAATTAGCCCAAGATTATTCGCCCACTGGGCAATTTCTCTCCCGCGGTGCACAGGCAACCAGGTACGACAAAGGGGAGGGTGTCAGTTGCGTGATTCTGAAACGGTTGGACGACGCACTGCGAGAAGGTGATCCAATCCGTGCCATCATCCGGGGCTGGGCTTCGAACAATGACGGACGAAGATCTCCACCAATGTGCCCACGTCCGGATTCTCAGGCTGCCTGTATCCGTGCCGCATATGCGATGGCAAAACTCACTGATTTTGAGACGACCGCTTATATCGAGTGTCACGGAATGGGCACAGCGGTTCGTACCGCGTTTGACCCTGGTGCTCTGTATAATGTATATCACCAGCTAACGTACGTTAGGTTGGAGAATCGTTTGAATTAAAGGGGATCTCCGCGGTATTTGGCCAAACACGGAGCACGAACAATCCGCTCATCGTGGGCTCGGTATGGTCCTCAACCACAGCGAATCATTTGAGATGGTTGAGCTCACACATATCGTAGATAAAAAGTAGCATTGGCGATTCCGAAGCAGCGTCCGGGCTATCGGGTCTGATCAAAATTACGTTATCCATCGAGGAAGGCCTTATTCCAGGCACACCAAGCTGCCCCACCCTGAGCTCTAAAGGTAGGTTGAGCTTCATCCCGAGGCGTTCTCTGGGGCTAATGCAACGACGGCTATCAAGTTAATTATCAAGAACTGAACCTGCGCTCCGTCAAGAGCACAATTCCCTGGCCGAGAGCATCGATCAAGCGAGCAGGTATTAATTCCTTTGGCTATGGTGGAACCAATTGCCACATCATCGTTGAGGAAGCCCAGCAGTTGTTAGATAGACGAGGGACCATTCCCCATCGACGATCGTTTCTATCCACCTCGAGGATGATGTGGATGGATGAAGATGAAGAGGAGGGCCATGCCGCCTCTCAGTCCAGCTCATGCACCTCTCATGTTCTGCTTATCTCTGCCCATAAGCCTTTATCACTACAGTACAACAAAAAAGAGATACTAAGGCATCTGGCCAGCCTGAATGTCCGAGTTGACTTGGGGGACTTAGCTTATACTCTCTCTGATCGACGGAGCCATCATTTCCATCGAGCCTATTCAGTGGTAACTAGTTCCACTCTCCACCAGGCACGATTTGTGGATGGGATGACCTTGGCCCGGGAACCTAGGATTGGCTTCATTTTCACGGGACAGGGAAGCCAATGGTCCCAAATGGGGACTGCACTCATCAAAACATTCCCGGAAGCTGCGAGACGCATCAAGCACCTGGATAACGTGTTGCAAAGTCTGCCGAACTGTCCGACCTGGTCCCTTCTCGGTGAGTCTATGTTTAAAGTTGAACATGAAAGACGTCCAAGGTTGCTGATTGAAATTGCACAGACGAACTGACCAAGACAAGGGACCCAGAAATTCTTCGCCGGCCAGAATTTTCGGAGCCCTTGAGCACGGCCCTCCAGCTCGCTATCCTGGCTGTGATGGAAAACCACAGAGTTCGCCCTCACTGCGTTGTGGGACACTCTTCTGGCGAGATCGCAGCTGCCTATGTGGCTGGATATTTGACCTTAGATGATGCAATCAAGATTGCTTTCTTCCGCGGCCAAGCCGCGCAGGGAGCCTGCGATAGCTTCAAGGAGAAGATGGGTATGATGGCCGTGGAGCTGGATCAGCAAACCATTTCCAAATACTTCATAGGATTGGAGGACAAGGTCCATATCGCTTGTCATAATAGTCCCAGCAATGTTACTCTTGCTGGCATCCTCTCCGCCTTGGAGGAGGTGCAGGCATGTTTACAGCAGGGCAAGCATGCAAGCCGTATGCTACAAGTTGATATCCCTTATCATTCCAAGTTTATCACGGCCACTGCAGAGGCATTTGAGCAGTTCTTCCTTCAAGAGTCGCCTTTGGTGAGAGATTTGGGCTGCAGCGGAGATGTCACAATGCTGTCGACCGTCACTGGCAGGAGATTGGAGGGCCCGGCTTGCAAAGGCACATATTGGAGAGCCAACATGGAGTCACCAGTTTTATTCCGTCACGCAATGGAAGAGATACTCCTTCATGATCAACGCCCCGATGTCCTTGTTGAGATTGGACCAAGTGACACATTGAGAGGTCCAGTCACGCAACTAAAGCACAGTCTCGGCCAGGAAGATGGGCCCCTGAAGGAGGCTGACATACAGTATCTATCGGCTCTTCGTAGGGGCGACATGTCGGCTCGCAACATGTTACACCTATTGGGCAGCCTTTATCTGTCCGGATATCCCATTCAGATGCAAGGGGCCTATCCCCGACTCAGCGAAGAGGCTCCTTCGGTCATTGTGGATCTCCCTAATTACTGCTGGAGTCACACGGCCAAACACTCGTACGAGTGTGTGGCGAGTAAGGACTGGCAGGTTCGCAAGAGTAAACCCGGCCTTGGCGCATCTGAAAATGGGGTCATAGCAAGCAACATCGCCAAACTCACTCAAAGCATGCAGAATAATCTGAAGAAAACATGCGTGCCCGGTGAATACAGTGATCTTCTCAGTGAGCAGCTGAGCAACATGTTGCGGTTGACGAGGCCAATCGACCCAGAAAGGTTGCTCTCCAGCTATGGATTGGATTCTCTGTCCAAAATCCAACTACGCCTTTGGCTGAATACGCAGCTGTCAGTGGATGTATCCACTTTTGACATTATCAATGCCCCTACGTTGGCCTCTTTGCGTGAGATGGTTGCTGAAAAGTTGAGGGGAGTTTGAGAGCCCTCTCCGAGGTTGCTCACATGCACCAGACTGCTGACGGCCATCTTGAAGTGATTCCATCTTGATTCTGTTGGGGGATATTCCGTTTGCTTTGTACAACCAACAACACCAAGGTGGTCTCGCGCTCAAGCTGTACGTAGATTCCCTCTCTTTCCTCCCTCTTTTTCTTTCTTCTTCTTATTCTCTCTTAAGCTGAGTATTCGCATCCAATGCTACCGTATGTATCTTACGAATGAGCTGTGATAGGTAGACTTGTCAAGCCCGGGCCATAATCATTGTGCGTTGAAAGCCGACGTATTGGTTATTATAAGCGATGCACAAACAAAAGACAATTCAATATTCCATGCTGCCTTGAAAGTTGAATCTTATGGGAGGTTCCGCTTCCTGGTACTTTGCAAAGACCGTTTTGTAGACAGTCGTCGGACTCGTTGCAGCACATGCTTACTGCGCCCTCTATACCGTTGCATAGTTTGGAGTCATTGTGGGTAGCGGTGTCTCCATTTGGCCTGTAGCAGGTTGCTGCCCGGGAGGAAGAGAAAAGTTGAGGGATAGTGAGGAGAATCGCGAATAGATGCCTCATGGCGCTTTGAACGATGATAAACAGGAAGACATGGTACACAGATATACCGCAGAAGACCTGAGGAACGCAAAGGACCAAGAAGGATGGGGTTAAGAAGGGGGCAATCAAGCGAAGGGGACGAGGCTGAGAGGCAGGGTCAGAATTAATTAGCACTGCGTTAAGAATAAGTACGCTCACTGAGTCTCTCCACTTCCATAATTTTGACCCTCTTCCTTTCTTAGGCCTGGGAGTACCAGATCTTCTGTGAAACGGCCCCCACGCCTTAGTGCAGGGTCAGGAGCCTCCATTCCGCAGTTCTTACCTAAATAGGGAATGGAATTGACGCTCTAATGTAAGACGGCCTCCACCAGGCTAGTGATCTACCAACAGCTAGCCAATAATAGTGTTCACATGAATCCGTCTAGATCCCCCGCTTTAATTTTATAGATAGAATGTAAGGCTGTCTCTGTGATCATCACAGCTGCGCCACAACAGGCAACAAGGCAGTGTTTAAATGCCCATGCTTCCCCGCGTAGACTCTGTTGTTGGGTCATGTTGAATTTTTCCTGGCTGTACTTCATGTGCTTGCGAGCAGCTTCCTACTACTTCCTGCTACTTCCCCTCCCGAAGGAAATAAACATGAACCAGTCTGCTCACTGATCTTGAAAATCGACAGAAAAGATGCATGATGATCAAGATGACCAGCTTAGGAAGAGCTTGATTGAGACTCCGGCTATGAACTCGGCTACCTCCACGCCGGGTCCCGAGCGTTATTCAGTAGACAATGGCTCTTCCAACAAGCAAGGCGCCGGGAACGACGACAAGCCCAAACCACCGAGACCATCTGTCCCCCTGAAACATTCTGTATACATTGTGTTCTTGACTCTGCTGTACGGAGCCGCAGCATTATATGCTTGGGTCATAATCTGCATCCTCACTTATCACCCCATCGGTGCAAATGGCTATGGACACGGCGAGCTCAACCGCATTCTCAGTGGCCCTCATCTTGGCGCCACCACTGTGCCCGAGTACCTTGACGCATTATTTGCTAAGAGCGAGCGGTATCTGAGGGCGGCGAGAATTGTCCAGTCCTTGGTGTCTGTGCTCACCATCCCCTTGACTTCCGCCGTGTGCTCGCAGGCAGCCGTGGTGTATATCCAGCAGAAGCGAGGGGACAAGCGCCCGACCCTCAGGCAAAGCATGGCCCTGGCGGACAAGGGGTGGACCGACCTTGTGCTCTTGAAAAATCTCGTCTTTGGGGGTTGGAATAAGTACGGGTCCTCGCTACTACTCTTTGCCCTGTTTCTGCATCTCCTAGGTGAGTCCATTGTCTTATTTTTCTGCACCTGATCTACCTGCTCACCTTCTTGTCTTTTCTTTACAGGCGCTGCCATATCTCCGGTACAGCAGATCTTTCTCTCGTTCAAGACGATCAAGCGTCTCGGGTACCCTGTCAGCCTCACCCAAATCACAGACTTCACTGATCTTTTCCCGGACCGCGGACCTGACATTGGGCTGGATGCAACCAAGCTCAGAGCCACTCTGGCATCGACGGTCAATACTGTGGTTCAGCCGAGACTCTGGTCCTCAAGCAATGGCACAGTCTCCCTTGATGATCAGAGCTACCAGACTTATTTGGCATTGCAGACAAAATCCCAAAACACCCTCGCCAATATATCCACTATAACTGATCCATTCTGGGCCGAGCTCCCCACCAGTACCAACACTGGTTTACTACGACAGTTCGCCCCTCGCGTCAACTCGACGGCCATATGGGAGAACAATTCAGCTGCCATACTTCCCGAAGACTGCAACTCATTGTCTGACGCCTTCTATCTCCGCTACGAATATGGACAGGACGATGAGGCTCCATTTCAATACAGCGTTGAAATATGTATGCCGGGAAACATGTCACAATTGCCGTGGAAAAACCAATTGTCTTGACAAGATTTAAGCGAAGAGTTGTATTTCAAGATGAACTTTTCGGGAGGCGGGGGGATGCTTGATTACGTGCCCAGAGCAGGAACATATTGGAGGAAGCTGACACTCCACACCACGACGGGCTACTTCGAGCTTCCCAACTACGCAAATGGCCAAATCCCTGGGCCGTTCATCGAAGAAAGTCCGTTTGACAAGAGCCCGCGAAATTTGACCCCTCGGGATCTAGACAACAATACAGCCTGGACTACGCTCAACGCTACCTTGAATGTGATCAATGCCGGTAATAAAGGTCCACTTCTTTACATCGCCATGGCACTGTTTGGCGAAGGGTCTTTCGCCGATGTGCAACACACAGCCTTAGCGGCATATGCCAACTCTGGCATCAAATACGATGGTTGTATTGGCATCATCCCCTTTATTCCACTTCTTGACGACCCCCACTCCTCCTTTAAGGTGTCCCCCGGTAACCCCTGTCTAACGGGCAGTGCTACTGGTGATCGTGAATATAACAACGATGTGATGCATGCAATTGTTGCAAAGTACTTTTTCCTTTTCTCTGGGGATCCTACCTATGGGCCAACTTCGGAACGAGTACAGAACGCCTTTGCCTCGGCGGCGTTTCTAGCCAATGACATGTTCATGACGAATAACTACCATGAGCAGAGTATCAGCATATCATATGATATGGGTGCCGATGTACAAATCCCGCACATCTCCCGTGTAGGAATTATCTTCGTCACAGTATTATTAGGTCTTGACTTGGCATGTCTTCTGGCATTGTCCCTCTATAGCGCGTGGATTCCTCGATGGACTGGGACCCTCGACTCCTTTGCGATGCTGCGGATCGGGGCCTGTATATCAGAAAAGGTTCCTCTGCTGGCCGCGCGACATGTTCAGCGCATCGAGATTCTTGATGAGACTCCCGGATGGATGGGGAATGCATCTGATGGCAAGATAGGGGAATTATGCTTAGGTGGGAAAGGGCCACTTGAGAAGACGCGACGTTACCGCAGTTATGACACCGATCATGCATCTTAAGATAGCGACAAGGAAACCCTCAGGGCCGATCAGACAAGAGGGCTATTCGGATTCCTTAGCTCCAGGAGAAAGTATGTAGCAGTTATACACTTAAATGTATTCTCACCCTGGCGACACCCGCCTGACTACTGGCCGGAGATAAGCCACACGCCAGTGGTTAGTATGGTGGGCTGCCACATGCGAATCCCAGATGCTTTTTTTTTTTGCCCTAAAGAAATAAGTGTGGAGAATGCTATAGGGTGAAATGATGGTAAATGTTAACACCTACATAGTATAATAAATTTAATTATGTTCCAGTAATAGCAGGGTCCTTAAGGATTCTAAAATTTTAACCCTTTTAATTTTATCTAATTTTATTAATTTATTATTATTATTATAAAGTCAGGATATTATTAGTAGGGATAGGCTGATAATTATTATATTACTATAGAATTATTAGCCTATTAAGTCTAAAACCTTACCTTACTTACTTAAACTATATTATATAGCTCTAGATTTGCTAATACAGCATCAACTCTTAGCTTGACTTCAAAATTAGATTTGCTTGTAAAAGTTTAAGTCCCATCAGAGACTATCCGCATGTTTCCGCCGTTGCCGCAGCCTAGCCCAGTCTGTCCATCAAGCATGGTTTGTGAAGCAGAAAACACTACCGAAAGGGCCGGTCTGTTCAGTGGCATCTGTGGTCAACTTCCTGAAAGATGCAAGTGTGAGAATAGAGACAGGGCAGAGCAAACTTACTACAGTATTAGCATCAGCACAGCATATGCCATGAGGCTGAAATGAGCCTGAATCGCAATTATCAGAGCCAGAGATCTCCCCTAGAGACATAATATAAGTCTTTGGCCAGACTATAATAGCACCCTGATTAATGTATGACTTACGACAACCAAGCCCATACACAAAAAGATAGAGGTTAGGCAGAATTTCCCTATCTGGAACCTCCTCCACGGCGCAGCAGAACTGTCTATTACCAGCTGCACAATATCTTTTGTGCAAGATACTGGCAGATGTCATGCTTGGCATTATGCCTGCAAGTGTCAAAATCGAAACTAGAGCCTTGTAGTGCATCTTTAGGGTGATTGAAAGTATTTCAGATACTTTTACCTTGCGTAGCGATCTTATTGATATGAAACTCCAAGATGCGACCAAGGTTTGCACTGGCTCTAGTTAAATAAGGTGTCAAGGTCTAGATGACATGTATTGTGGTCATAGATTTCGCGCTGCAGTCAATGAAAACAGCTAAGAGAATCACAAATAGTGCCCGAACTTAGTAACTGGAGGTGAAACTGTCCGTGGCTTGGTTTAACAAACACAGATTCTTGGTCCATCTTCGGCATTCGGCAAGTTTATTAAAGTTTTAAGGTTTATTCTAGATTACTGTGGCGACTGTCATTCAGCCGGAAGGGGAAGCAGCTTTATTACAGTACCTGCCTTGATTTGAGCTGGGATGACAGCCAGTTCATAGAACCATTCCAAGGTGGAAACACATTTCATGTGCAACACTGGGTAACTCTGCTCTGCAACTGTGAGAAATGCCCACTATTATCATACAGCAGTTGCCAAGTTATCCAAGGTTTTGCTCTTAATCATGTGCAGCCTCCTGTTTAACTCCTGTTTAACTCCTGTTTAACTCCTGTTTAACTCCTGTTTAACTCCTGTTCAACCTCCTGATAGACAGAGGTCCAGGCGGCAATGGTCAAGTGATACACCAGTCGCACTGAGCTACTAATATTGTACCTCACATCGCAGCTTTCGAAGGCTGGTAATGGTACAAGGGTTAGGTGACTCATATTCTACGTTCTGTTTATGATGCGCAGCTATGAATGCTGATATTGCATCACTGGCCTGGCAGCCAGTCAATTGACTTATACAGCTGTTCTCACAGCTTGGATAATGCTGGTTTTGGCTTAGTGTGCCTTAAAAGTTAAGTGATGCTGACTGATAAGCTGCCATGCTTTAGAACCAATCATTACTGTATCCTCTTAATAACTAAGCTGATGTGTTAAGGCAATATAATGTTAGTGTTGCGAGCAAGGCCCGCAATATGCTCATGCCGCCTAGCAGGTACTTGCTGTTAGAGCAACATTTGAGCCAGTAAAGGTTTATATATGGAAGCTGGGCATAGGCTGCGGCAACATCCATGATGTATCCAAATCCGCATATCCAAATCCGCATATCCGTGGATATGGATGTAATCTAATATCTACATATCCGCAACAATATGATATGGATAGTAAATGATATCCACAGTGTGGATTTGGATATTTTACGGATAGGCAAACAATATAAACATGGCTAAATCTATTACTACATAATTTATGCATGTTTTATTTGTAATTTATCATTCTAGGGGTGTATAGAAAAGTCACCTTTCAGAATCTAAGTATTAAGGTATAGAGTCGTAGTATAGACTATAGGACAAATTGCAGAAAAGGAGATACTACTTGAAAGTCTTCTATTAGGCTATATAACTATGGTTTGATAATTTCATAATCCTCAAACCCTCTTGGAGCCTTCTGAGATCTCTTAGATCCGCGCGTCAGTATGTCATTCTGGGGTAAGGGATGTTTAGTCTTGTCATCTAACTCATGACACTGCTCTACTAACTGTCCTTCTCTTTGGCCCCCTTCCCTAGTTCCTGTACATTGTTGCTTACTCAGTTGATCTTGTGTTTCAGTCTGAATATCACTAGCATCATCTTCTTTATCATTACTAACAGGCTCAAAATCCGCCTGTAGCTGAAGAGGAGCTCTTTCCTCCTCTATAGCAGCAACCTCACTAGCTGGAAGATACTCTTCCATTAGTTCTAGCTACTCTTATTCAAGCTTAAACTTTAATGTACACATCCACATCATTAAGTCTTTGATTGTGCAAGATTTAAGATGGCCGCAGCAATAGTGACAGATATCATGAGCAGAGTTAAAAAGACGTTTGACACCAGCCCTACTAGCTGGGATGGCAAGAACATCCTGAGCAAGTCTAGATAGTGCTGGGAACTCGTGCTCATGCTCTTTCCAGAAGGCCCTTGGTGATATATTAACTGTGCCTGTTATCTAACATCAGTAATAAGTCATGGAGTTATTAATCACTACTAACCACTCTCAAGATATTTTGTAAGCTCGTCATTATCCCTGTTTAATCAAGAGCAGTGAGATCTGATTCCCTGCTGTAAGGCCCTGCTTGAAACTAGCATTTCAATCTGAGATAGGTTTCCAGATGATAATTGAGTGCTTGATGGTGTTGGTAGATTAGCAAGCTGCTTGGTGTACTGCTCAAGATAGTTGATAAGACTCTTATAATACCGTTCACGCCAGCCACCCTCCCACTCTCTTGTGGAAAAGAATTGAAGCTTATTTAAAGGGGTAATAATTATGCTAATTACAAAGATATCACTATGCATCTTATCAGTCTCTTCATAATAGAATAAGAGCTTGGCCTTTGCTGCTTCGAGTGCATGGAGCATTGTCTTTTTCTAAGAAACCCTTTTGCATTAAAGTTAGCGTATGAACTTCTCAAGATAGTCAAAGAGATTGTTATAGATACCAAGGATAAGATGAATGGTGACCTCCTTCGTTGTAGAGAGCGCAGTGGTGTAATCAAAGAAAGGTTGGGTAATCCAGAGCAGATACTTAATTTGGCGCCATTCTTCCTTATTAAGCTTAAACTAGAGATATTGATGCATTGTACAGTATTCATCAAAGACAGACTGTAGTTGCTTAGCTCGGCGAAGCATCAAGTAGGTGGAATTCCAGTGAGTACGGACATCCTGGCAGGGAATAAGCTTTGGCTCTGTAGTTTGAAGACTCAGAAATGCCTCCTGGACTTGCATTGATAAAGGTAGTAAGTCTTTGAACCTTTCTTATTATTAGTAAAATAAGAGTTTTATATAATAGTATCATACCTTATTTAGTGTATCCATAATTCCACTTAAATCACTCTTTTTCTGGAGAGATTGCATACTTTGATTGGACTATTCCCTTTCTATAGAATTATTGACTGGGTTCACTTTCATCTTTCTAAGCAGTTGATTTAAACTAAGCTGAATAACATGGGCGATGCATGGGATTCAGATAATTATAGCATTACTACCAAGATCCTATGACTGGATTAACTCCTGCAATCTCACTATCATAGTATTGTTGTTTGATGCATTATTAGTAGTAATTAATAATATGTAGTTAGTGATCTTATGCTCTTAGAGGACTTCTAAGATAACTGAGCTTAGATTGCTTCCATTATGCGTACTATAAAGAGGTTTAAACCTAAGAAGAATCTCATAATAGTTCCATTCTTGGTCAATAAAGTAGCTAGTGATTGCTATGAATGCCTAGTTAAAAGGTGATATCCAGCAGTCAAGTGTAATTAAAAGCTTCTTATTTAGTGGAAGCTTCTGGAGTAGAGTTGCTTGTTTTTCTTTAATATTTTTCTCTAGATATTGTTGAAGGGTCCTGCTAGAGGGGAGTTTTAGCTTTAATAGTGCAAGTCGTATAATATCAATAAACTCATCAAGCTCGCGACACTCACTAAATTAAAAGGGAAGACGCCCAACAGCAACCATATTAAGTAGCTTCTCTATGAAAAGCTCTTGACTATATAGCCTTTGAGGAGAATGCTAAGGCTAAATAAGGGTAATGTGAGCATACTTGATAAACTATACCAGGGCCTTATACTAACTGAGTCTTGGATAAGCTGGTCTATACCCTTCTGCTGTTTAGGCACAGTATGCTGACAGGCAGCTCCTTTAAGGTGCGCTTTCATTGGAGATAACCCTGCTTAGTGATGACCTAGGTGAACAAGAACATTGCAGCAGTGTCTATATATAACCTTAGGCTGGCCAGTTTTTTCATCTGCAACCTGATGAAATTACTCCCAATATAATGAGCTCTTTTTCCCATCCCAGTGGATTGTATCCTGTAACTCTGTTACGGCACCAACACAGCCGCACTAGCCTAAGGCGGATGAGACAGGCAGAATTACGGAATGCGGACATCCAATCACTC